ATATGTGAACTGATGTTTACCCGAAGGAGACGTGATCTGTACGTAGATATTCCCTCTTCTTTCGTGCTCAATATCAACCACAGCCTGGATGTGTTCCAAGAAGTTGACCTCATTCTCTTGACCCTCACAGCCATCGGTTCGGAATTCAATTTCTACAGACTCGCCAGAGACAAACTTTCTGCAAGAAGAACGCAAATTTTAGGATATGTCAGTAAACACTTGGCTACAACACCCCTGACATATTTTTCAGTAGTTTTCAGATGGGACAGTGAGATAAATTTTGTGTCCTTTTCCATGACACAGGAACGTACCAGTTACGGGACGACACGTCTGCATTGTGAAGTTGAAGCCTTGACTAAAGACTAAAAAGATTCCTAACAAGTTCATATATGCTCTGTCTCCCTCAGAATAAAAAAGGAAGATGTCGGAAATCTTTGTTACGTTAGTCAGTTGTGGCGTGTGAATGAATGTTTTAATGGCTACCCGTGTGAACTGAAAAATATGATATCTTGTTTGCGTTCGTTTCCGTTTGCTCAGATCAGACCATCAGATGGGTTGCCTCTATGAACTCGCATGTCAGCAGCAGGTCTTCAAAGTTACCCATAGCTTGCTCTGTACACTTTGCTCTTGAGGCCGGATGTCCTTTCGAAGTTGTAAAGTTGTAGGTGGAGTGGGCAGGTCTGCAGAATGTGCTTAAGTGTCTAACATGCACACTGTGAGGACTGTGCAATTTATTTTATGAATGCTGTAGTTGAGCATGCAGTCTCCTGTTCGTAGGCGGAAAATTGTTGTCTGTTGCTTTCTGTTGAGTCTGCTGATGAGGTCTTTTTGATGTTTACTGTTAGCTTGTTCTCTCCTCAGTTCCTTGTATGTTCCCTTGATAAGTGCTCCTATTTCTGGTAATAACAATGAATGGGTGTGTTGTTTGTTTCATTTTTGCAAATCTGGTAACTCATTTCCTAGTATACCGTAGTAAGCCCGGATCCATTGGAAAACGATTTGATTGTTTTCTGCGAGCCTGTTTTGCTGGCCGGTTAATTCTCTCTTAATGTTATTTCGTGGACCCTCTGAGTCGCCTGGAGGACTGACATGCAGTCACAAAGGAGAACAATTTTGCTTTTTAAAATTTTTCTTTCCTCAAGCACTTCAGATGAATTAATAATGGCTTGCTGCTCTGCTCTGAAGTTTGTTGAGTCTTCTGGAGGCACGTGACGTTTCTACTGTGGTCCCATCTTGCAGAACGATGACCGATCCAGCTCCTCCGTTTGTTTCTGCTCCCTCCATTGATCCATAGGTGTATACTTGTGTCTATTCGGGTTTTGGATAACAGTTGTAGCCATGTTCAACGGTCTTTGTCTGCAATACTGGGTCACATTATAAAGCCTTTCTGTCTATGCCTGGAATTTTTGCTGTGACTGTATAGTTAGGCTGTAGGTCTGTGCTGTATGTCTGGATCATTTCCCATGTTGAAGGATCTTTAGAAAGAATACCACTGTATTTTTAAAAATATTATTTATGTAAAACGAGTGAATAGGGATGGGTAGAGATTCTGGAATATACTTAATTCTGAGGGGGAAATATGGGCAGAATTGTAATTAGATTGCAACTGGTACTGGCAGGTCGAATCTTGGTTGGTTACTGAAGAATGTAACGGAGTGAATGTAGGTATGTTCCGCGTGCACTGATGTCAATTATTTATTAATTCATTCATTCATTCAAGTAAAATTGCACTGTTTATGAAAAGGGTTGCTGAGGTTGGCACACTGTAATCAATTCGCAACAGTACTTGGGTACTTTAAGAACAGATTGCCGATCATTTTGAGAATTATGAATATTCACAGTTCAAGTCTCCTCTTGGTTTCAGAGAGAGTATTTTAATCATGACAATCTATTACTTTCATTTATGCAAATAATGACTTGATCCTTGATTTTATAAATCGTAGCTATGTGTAGCTAGCGGTTGCTGTTTCACATGCAACAAATCACTTGCTGGTTCTGCACCACTTGTTAGTAAATTGATGCAAACCAACAAAATATTGGAGGAGCTCTTTGGAGCAAGTAAACAGTGCGGAGGCACAAATAGATCATCACGGTCTGGAGATTAAAGTGCAACGAGAGTGACGGGACGACCTAGTCGACGCTCAGCGCCCACGGCATGGTGAGACGCAAAAAACAGTCAGTCTGTTACTTGTATCATCGGAATAGGAACTATGCGCTTGCTGCTAAAGATGGAGGCAGATCGCTTATGGAATTATACTGTTTGCTGTCATATCCCTTTTAACTAATTATTCAAAACTGAAACCATGGCCTCCTATCCGTGTGGTTGCCGGGGCCTCATTATGGAAGTAAACAGAATAGAACCACTGCCCTTCTAACAAGCATGTCGTATAAGCCGACTAAAGATGGATGTTTCTGTAAAAGTCGGAGTACATCTACCCAAAAAGAAAAATACCTGCAAACAGACTACATCTGCAAAGCGGATATGTGTGCACAACTCAACTTTTAAAACAGGAACACAATCCAGAATGGACAAATCAATCTTTTTGTTTGCTCAGTGGCTTGAAGTCTGGCTATGATGAAGATCTGCAGTTTGAATCTATATGCGAGCTACTAAAAAGAAGAAAAATTAAACTTTAACTGTCAGGTTGAGAGGTGGAATGTAGCCCAGATTATAAACGAGGTATCTGTAGATCAAGGGCGCTGACATAAAAATATCACTTTGGGATGGGAGCGCTCACATGTTCTAGTATGAGAAGGAGGCGCAAGGGGCATGAACTTCTGTGTGTATTCACATCTGAATGTCTAGATTCATTGTCATTGTGCTATTATATGTCCCACATGACCCGTAGTCTACTGTTCCGTTTTGATCTATCACGTGCATTTATTTACCGTAATGGCAGCCCATCCTCCAAATGTCTGCAGCAAATAACTTTAAAAAAAAAACTTTTAACAGGATGTGGGAGCTGGGCTCACATCAGCCCTTGTCCCTTTTCATCCGGTCTTAGGACCAACAATGGCGCAGATTTGGCAAGTAAATATAATATATTTGAAATAATATGAAATGTACAACATATGATCATCAGTCAAAAGTCCTTTATAAAATGTGACCCGCGTCTCGGTACGCCTGAAAATATCTCTTTCTTTTGCTAGCCCCTGTGCATTAAATATGTAATATCCACGTCAGCAGAGGTGTGCATCTGAATCGTTTTTACGAAAGAAAATGAAGGAGGAGGAGAAGAAGAAGAAAAAATGAAGAAGAAGAAGAAGAAGAAGAAGAAGAAGAAGAAGAAGAAGAAGAAGAAGAAGAAGAAGAAGAAGAAGAAGAAGAAGAAGAAGAAGAAGAAAGAAGAAGAAGAAGAAGAAGAAGAAGAAGAAGAAGAAGAAGAAGAAGAAGAAGAAGAAGAAGAAGAAGAAGAAGAAGAAGAAGAAGAAGAAGAAGAAGAAGAAAAAGCAGCAGAAGAAGCAAAAGAAGAAGAAGAAGAAGAAGAAGAAGAAGAAGAAGAAGAAGAAAAAGAAGAAGAAGAAGAAGAAGAAGAAGAAGAAGAAGAAGAAGAAGAAGAAGAAGAAGAAGAAGAAGAAGAAGAAGAAGAAGAAGAAGAAGAAGAAGAAAGAAGAAGAAGAAGAAGAAGCGGCAGAAGAAGAAGAAGATAAGATAAATGTGCGACGTAAAATGTTTACTAAATGTCCTCAACTGACCGAGGGAATCCACTGGAGGCAACAGGCGCCACTCTGCAGATCCTCCGTTCCCCGACCCTCTTCCATGTTTTGGGGTCGGCCAACTTTACGATAGCCAGGGCGTCCATCAGTCCAAAGCCAAAAGCCAGGTTGACACAGTAGCCAAATCCATTGCGGTACCTGTGGGTGGGTATTGTGGAGGAAAAAGGGGGGGGGGGGCGAATGGTTAGTCATGACAGCTTGTGGAAAACATGATCAATCATAAAATTTCTTACATTATAGATGCACTAATATATTAAAAGATATTAATAGGATAGGCAATGCTTAAAAATGAGAAATCACTAGTTTTTATTGGTGTATATAGTAAAGAGTCGGCTCTGTGGCTAAGTCGAAGTGAACGCTTCGTAAAGCGGGGATGCAGGGTTCGATCCCAGCTGCGGGCCATTCGTCTTGCGTTGGTTTCGACAGTGGTATCAAGAAAGCCGACCGTCCAGAAGCAATGGCAAACTACTGGGCGTACATTTTTACAGAAAAACCACACAACAGCCAGGTTGTTGGGGTTGGTTCTGCAACGTCATGTAAAGGATACGCAACTAACCTATAGAGTAAAGAAAGAAGTAAGGTAGCTATTTACTGACATTGTAGACAGTATAATAATGTTCACCTCTGTGGGATTTCCGGACCTGATTGTTGGGGAAAAAATAGATACACTGCCCCTAAGAAGCATGTAGTGTAAAGCTACTAATTAGCGGTATTTCCTTTGAAGTCGTAAAGGCGACGAACTAACAGTCTGCACACAAGTAAGCCAGATCTCTAAAACGGATGTCCACACATAATTCAAGTTCTGGAACAAGACTAAAGTATAGAAGTGGACGAACAACCACAACTTTAAGCCGGAGTTAGCTGGTGAACGCTAAGAAAAAAACAGAAATAAGCATTTACAACACGTAGATAGATAGAAAAAGAGGACCGGATCGTGTCGCCTCTAAAAGATGACAAGTTCTTCGCGATATGGACAGTTATAATTTTTTAGCGGGCGGTGATGAAAGAGCGTAAGTCTTTTTTAAGTGCGCAATAGCAGTAACGATAGTAATAATTATTTTTATGTGCTGGAAGTTGCGGAGATGTAATTTTATGGAAGGATGATGAGAATATCTTGCACAGATTAAAAATAGTAATGAGGATGTCTTGAAAGAAACCGACTCACGAAGAGAACTGATTGTCAACATCAGAAAATGGCAATCTTCATTATTTGGTCACGTGATGAGGAGAAGAAAACTGGAGTACATCGTGACAGTAAGAAAGTTGGAAGAGAGGAAAGGCAGAGGGAGACCGAGAGAGAGAATGCGGGAAAGTTGGATAACATTTATTATTATCATTTAGTCAGGATTTAAGCATACCTGACATTTACGCATGCCATTTAATCAGGATTTTAACATACCTGACATTTACACATACCATTTAATCAGGATGTAAGCATACCTGACATTTTCTTATACCATTTAATCAGGATTTAAACATACCTGACATTTACACATACCATTTAATGAGGATTTAAGCATACCTGACATTTAAAATTACTATTTAATCAGGATTTAAGTATACCTGACATTTACACATACCTTTTAATCAGGATTTATGCACACCTGACATTTACACATACCTTTTAATCAGGGTTTAAGCATACCTGGCATTTAAAATTCCCATTTAATCACCATTTAAGTATACATTATATTTAGGAATAGCCTTTAATCACTTAGTGTTTACTTGTACCCAGAAGGACCAGTGGCGAGACATGCATGCAGTCGACAAAAGAAAAATTCATTATTTGTGCTGTTCACTATTTATTTACACATACGCCACTCCGTCTTGCCGATCACGTAAAGCTAAGTAACAGTATTTTCATATAAAAAAGAACGCTTGCTGCATGCTTACGCCACTTATGCAGAAACTGTAACACATGAGAGCTACTAGTTACTAATACTACAATGCCAGCCTTGCAAGCATACTCTCAACAGCGTAGCGACGAGATGAAAATATCACGTGATACCCTTTCAAGTGTAATTGTTAATGTTAACGAATAATTTCCTTGAAACCACGTACACATGCGAACTGATCAAGCTTCGCCACGAAGAAAGACTAATTAATTCTCGAAGAGGTCTAATGTCAAGGCGGAAAAATGAAACTATCGCAAGTTTACAGTAAACAGGTACAACACATTAACGTAATAAAAATAGTACAAGGGAACAAACACTTACCAGCCCTTTTCCTTGTACAAGGGTCCAATTCTTGAAGTGTGCACAGTAATGTGCTGGACATCCCTCCATGTCAGATTCCGACTGCAAACACAAATACAGCTACCTTAACAGTTCTTCTTTACATCAAAAGTTAAATCACCAAAACTGGGCTATAAATTTAGCGGTTAAATAATTTGTTAACACGTCTAGATCCTTAGCATCCTTCGATCCACTATTGTGGTATCACCGGTCACCTAAAGTAAATGAAATGGTACTGATCTCCGGAATAAAAAGAAAGTTCAGTATTGTGTACTTTGGAAAGTACAGCGAGGGCAAACAATGGAAAGTACAGCGAGGGCAAACAATGGAAAGTACAGCCGGGTCAAATAATTGACAGTACAGCCGGGACAAACAATGGAAAGTACAGCCGGGTCAAATAATTGACAGTACAGCCGGGATAAACAATGGAAAGTACAGCCGGGGCAAACAATGGAAAGTACAGCTGAGGCAAACAATGGAAAGTACAGCCGGGGCAAACAATGGAAAGTACAGAAAGGGCAAACAATTAAAAGTACACCAGGGACAAGATGAGATGAATTTTAACTTTGATTTAAAGGTTACAGTTGAAAAATTGTAATTCTAGTCATCATCATCATGATGTCGCAACCACGGAGAACAACTAAAGCAATTACTAATAAACTACAAACATATATTAACTGGTGCCTGTGCAGAATAGAGGGAATTAAATGGTATGATAGAATCTCTAATGTGAAGCTTTGGGAAAGAACTAAACAAGTTCCAGTAGACCAAGACCAAGAGGTGAAGAAAAGACGCTGGCGTTGGATAGGACACACGTAAAGAAAACCTGAGACCGATATAACTTGAAAGTCTTTGCACTGGAACCCACAGGGGTATGGGGAAAAACTTGGAGAGGGGAGCAAGAGAGTGAAGTTAAAAATATGGGGAGGGCATAGGCATGTGATAGCGTAGGATAGAATGACCTGGCGAGAGTTGGTTGAGGGCCTAAGCTCCACTTAGGGTCAGAAAGGCAGAAGAAAAGGAAGAAGAAGATCACCATAATGTGATCTGCTAGACTAAGAAAGACTTCATTTGTTTCCGCATTTCTCAGCCACGGGTGTTCTGGAACAACTATATCGAAAATATTTTCGCCCCAAATTACCATATTAAACTGTGCAGTAACATCTGACTCTTTGTCTGTCTGTCTGACCTATTGCCGAATTTAAAGATATTTTTTAATGTTCTCCAATGGCCATTTTCTCATCACATACCGAAATCAGTGTGTGTATCACTTAAAAAATATATTTTGCATAGCATGTTTCACTTGCTAGAGATCACGAAGAAAGAGTTGAGAATTTTTTTGACAGTCCACTATGCTTGGCAACATTCACGAAAAACCTTGCACAACAGATTATTTCCAGAAACCACAAGAGACATCATTTATGAAAACATTCCTCAACAGAGAATACTTCCAACGATATACCAAAACAGACAATATCGCAACAGATAAAGTATAGCAGATAGTATCACAGAAGACAAACGACAACAGGCAATATCGCAACAGATAAAGTATAGCAGATAGTATCACAGAAGACAAACCAAAACAGACAATATCGCAACAGATAAAGTATAGCAGATAGTATCACAGAAGACAAACGACAACAGGCAATATCGCAACAGATAAAGTATAGCAGATAGTATCACAGAAGACAAACCAAAACAGACAATATCGCAACAGATAAAGTATAGCAGATAGTATCACAGAAGACAAACCAAAACAGACAATATCGCAACAGATAAAGTATAGCAGATAGTATCACAGAAGACAAACGACAACAGGCAATATCTTAACAGATAAAGTACAACTGATAGTATCACAGAAGACAACGAAAACAGACAATATCTCAAGCGATAGAAGTACAACAGATAGTATCACTGAAGACATACGAAAACAGAAAATATCTCTACAGATAAAGTACAACAGATAGTATCGCAAAAGAGATACGAAAACAGAAATATCTCAACAGATAAAGTACAACAAATAGTATCACAGAAGACATAGGAAAACAGACAATATCTCAACAGATAAAGTACAACAGATTGTATCACAGACAAACGAAAACAGACAATATCTCAACAGATAAAGTACAACAGATAGTATCACAGAAGACACACGACAATAGACAATATCTCAACAGATAAAGTACAACAGATAGTATCACAGAAGACATAGGAAAACAGACACTATCTCAACAGATAAAATACAACAGATAGTATCACAGAAGACATATGAAAACAGATAATATCTCAAAAGATAAAGTACAAGAGATAGTATAACAGATAACATACGACAACAGACAATATCTCTAGTCCTATCACAGCAGACATTATGTCAGACGACACAACAAAAAACTCACTTTACTTCCAACATGAGGGCGTAAATACCGGCAGCCATTGGCGCGGCAGCAGATGTTCCACTGTGATTGTCCGTGCATTTACTGTGTAGATCCGCGCTTACCTGGGGGAACAGATTAGAAGTCGTTCTCTGTACACTGTGGTGTAGCGGCTAGACGCTCGACTGCGGATCGAAGGGTCGTGGGTTCGGGTTCTGACAGATCCAGACTTTTTTTCAAAAATGACCTTGACTCCCAGGTCGACCAAGATTTCAGTAGGTAATAGGTAAAAGTCATGGAAGGTAAAGGCGGCCGGTGTGATGCCGACCACATCACCCACGACATGCTGATTGGTATATAAAATATAGGTCTAGCCCTATATGCTCAACAGGTCTAAAAGCGTGGAAAAGGTTCCTTCACTTTAATTACTTAGTGCAATAATTGGACATATCTGAGACCACCCAACAACTGAGCTTATTACTGGCTATCTTCGTGTGGGTTACGCGCCCCTTGGGGATGGGGTGGGGGGTGGGGGTGGGGGGTGGGGATGGTGATAGTAGTGAATAGACTCACTGCTCCTTAACAAGCATGTCATAAAAGTCCACTAATTATCGGTATATTGATTCAAAGTCTGAGTGCATCTGCCTGAGAGACAGCGAGCCACCAGTCTGCATACAAATAAGTCAGTTATGTAAAACTGATGTGCATGCAAACCTAAAAATGATTTTAAGAAGTTACTTAACACCACACAAACTGTGACTAGAAAACTCGATGGAACACGCACAAATAGTAGAACGGTTCGACTAACATTTTTATGAACGGGGGGGAAACAAACCGAATGATAAACAACCGGGAAGACCGTATAGAAAGTAAATATAATAAATATGTTTCCTGTGTTTTCAGCATTCTTATTTATATGTATTTTTCTGAAAAATTTACAGAGTCCGGCAAACAGGCAGACATATAGATAGCAGTCAGAAAGGCAGACAGACACAAAGATGGGTACGTAGACAGACAGACAGACAGACAGACAGACAGACAGACAGACAGACAGACAGACAGACAGACAGACAGACAGACAGACAGACAGACAGACAGACAGACAGACAGACAGACAGACAGACAGACAGACAGACAGACAGACAGACAGACAGACAGACAGACAGACAGACAGACAGACAGACAGACAGACAGACAGACAGACAGACAGACAGACAGACAGACAGACAGACAGACAGACAGACAGACAGACAGACAGACAGACAGACAGACAGACAGACAGACAGACAGACAGACAGACAGACAGACAGACAGACAGACAGACAGACAGACAGGCAGGCAGACAGGCAGACAGACAGACAGACAGACAGACAGACAGACAGACAGACAGACAGACAGACAGACAGACAGACACACAGACAGACAGCAGTTTACTAACCACTTTTCTCTCAGAAGATGACCCACTGCTGAAAGCAGTTGTTAAAGTTGAAGCACATCTTTCACAGTAGTATGGAATATTGCCATCCTGCAAAAAAAGGAGACAAATTTATATCATCATCATCATCTCATCAGCTCATAATCCATCGTCGTTTTTATCATCATCAACTTCATCATCCTAAATCTATAGGTCTTGATCTACAATAATTCTGCAGCAAGAATTCAAGCATCAAAGGTTTGATTTCCGTCTGTAATGATATATCATGTCATACTGTTTATAAAACAACAATTTTTTGTAACTGTACGTTCGAGAACTATTCCGAAATCAACCTCTGATTGCTAGTAAAAAAAAAAAAAAAAAGTAAAAACCGTATACCATTGCGACTCCGTTCAGTGCATGTATCATTTAGTAGTCTTTTAGACATCTAGACATCAGTCAACCTACAGTCGTATTTGTTCAGTAGTTCAAGAATAGCGAACGAATAAATATGCAGACTGTTACTGACTTTCCCACCAGCTGTAACATTTTTGGTTTGATTCATTTCCTTTAGGCAGAAAGTCAAAATGACGCCGAGATTCATCATCGATTACGTCGTGTATACGGGGATAACTTTATGAATGACAGATTTTGAAAGTGAATGCACAGACGAAGAAACAGTAAGAACGGTGGATGCATGTAACATTCAACCCCCCCCCCCCCCCCCCCCCCCCCCCCCCCCCCCCCCCCCCCCCCCCCCCCCCCCAAAAAAAAAAAAATTTTTTTTTTAAAAAAAAAAAAAAAAAAAAAAAAAAGAAATTCAACAAACATTTTCACAACGAACAATAATTATTACAGCGGTCTTGGAACAGTGAAGAAGCTTCGTCGGTCGATCCTGAAGACAACACATGGAATGTTCACCAGTGTCCATTATTCTGCACGACAGCGCGTGACCCCAGACTGCTTGAGCAGCTTAAGTGGGAATGCTTCTACTTCCCTCCTCCCTCTTTACAGCCCGGACTCGGCACTAAGTGAGTATTATCTGTTCAGCAAAATTAAGGTTCGGCTCTCCCACGCTTCGACACTACCGAGGAGCGCATGGATGGAGTCAATAACTGGCTTAGTATCCTGGCGGCACTGTTCCCTGACGAGAGGTTACGAAATCCCGTACGACAAGTGCCTGAATTTGGGGGATGACTTTGTACTTTGTGGAGAAGTAATGCAGTGATGTATGTAAATTTTGATTGCATTGAGATGTTATTGGTAATTTTTTAAATTTTAATTTGCACCTGCCAATCGGGAGTTGAGTCTGGAAAAGCCTTAATTAAAGAAATTCAAGACCAGGGATTTAGAACTGTGCCGAGGTGGAAAGACACCATAAAATACTGAACATGTGCCACATAAATGCTCTCTACATGCAGTAGAGATATCTCAGGTTTGGCGGGTTGGCGGGTCATAGGAAACGAAGCTGCATGGAACAATGGAAGGCATTTGTCGCATCCCAGACTTCATAGATTCGTGTGGCCTTTTCGTCTGAAAAAGCCATGGCAAGGAGGTGAAGGAGAAGGAGGAGGAGGAGGAGAAGAAGAAGAAGAAGAAGAAGAAGAAGAAGAAGAAGAAGAAGAAGAAGAAGAAGAAGAAGAAGAAGAAGAAGAAGAAGAAGAAGAAGAAGAAGAAGAAGAAGAAAAAGAAGAAGAAGAAGAAGAAGAAGAAGAAGAAGAAGAAGAAGAAGAAGAAGAAGAAGAAGAAGAAGAAGAAGAAGAAGAAGAAGAAGAAGAAAAAAAAGAAAGAGGCTTGTTTTTAGCTTCTAAAAATTATGTGTATTTGCTGGTCAAAGAATCGCGTAATTGTCAGAAAATCTCACAAACCAAAGTACATTTTCTTTTAAAATAAAGATTAGTAGCACCACACATGACGTAAGAGGCCTCCCATGATGCTACACTTTAGCTTTCTACAACATCCTGTGGAAGTCTGACTTCAAAATCTACCAGTCGTGAAAAAGTCTATTATAAAGGATTGAGATAAGTTGTTCAAGAGTGTGTTCTCCATTTGGAAATAAAAGTCAAGAGAAAATTAAGAATCCCAACTTACCTCTGTTGCCCCACCCACACTGACAGTTTGTGGGGTCAGAGGTCAGTTCTTCACTTAGGAAATTAAAAGAAAAAAAAAACGTAGAACAATGGTGACTACCTCTGTTGAACTACCCACACTGATGGTTTGTAGGGCCAAGGTCAATTCTCCACTTGGAAAAGAAAGAAAATACAAGAAGTAGAAGAATGGTGACTTACTTGTGTTGTGCTACCCACACTGATAGTTTCTGGGGCAGACGTGTAGCCATCAGCGTTACAATTATCTCCGTTGTGACCGCCATTTCCTCCCGCCCAGACGAAGATTGAGCCTAGACCACCTCGTCCCTGGACACAAATGGACATCAATACAAATTATTGACATGATTGACATAAACAGCTGTTATATAAAAAAAAAAAAAATTATAAAATGCACATAGACACATATGTATATAAACATACCTACATACATACATTACATATACACTAACATTCACATATACATAAATATACACATCGACATATAAAAGTATCATACATACAGACACGCGTGAGCTGGGTAAAGACGTACCACTACTGGCGGCTGGGGTTGGCGGTGGGGGGCAAAGGAGAAAATGAGAAAAAGAAAAAGCTACATTATATGTAATTCACATAAAGCATACAACTTACCTCCTGAACGCCCTGCTCCAGGGCCCTCTGAGTGACTCTTCCAGGACCTTCAACAGTTCGCCCATCATCATTAGGGCCCCAGCTAGAAGAGTAGATATGGATGTGTTGCAAATGTTTCGACAGAGATTCCCCCTCAATGCGGTCAGTCACAGTGCCGTCCAGCATTCGCACACCTGTGTTTTCAATCAGTGAGGGAGAAAATAACAAATGTATACCATAGGGTGAAATCACATTAAACATGTATAACACTCGAGAAAATCACAATAAACATGTATAACCCTCGAGAAAATCACAATAAACATGTATAACACTGGAGAAAATCACAATAAACGTGTATAACACTCGAGAAAATCACAATAAACGTGTATAACACTCGAGAAAATCACAATAAACGTGTATAACACTCGAGAAAATCACAATAAACGTATAACACTTGAGAAAATCACAATAAACGTGTATAACACTCGAGAAAATCACAATAAACGTGTAAAACACTAGAGAAAATCACAATAAACGTGTATAACACTCGAGAAAATCACAATAAACGTGTATAACACTCGAGAAAATCACAATAAACATGTATAACACTCGAGAAAATCACAATAAACGTATAACACTTGAGAAAATCACAATAAACGTGTATAACACTCGAGAAAATCACAATAAACGTGTATAACACTCGAGAAAATCACAATAAACGTGTATAACACTTGAGAAAATCACAATAAACGTGTATAACACTCGAGAAAATCACAATAAACGTATAACACTTGAGAAAATCACAATAAACGTGTGTAACACTCGAGAAAATCACAATAAACGTGTATACCACTCGAGAAAATCACAATAAACATGTATAACACTCGAGAAAATCACAATAAACGTGTATAACACTCGAGAAAATCACAATAAACGTGTATAACACTCGAGAAAATCACAATAAACGTATAACACTTGAGAAAATCACAATAAACATGTATAACACTCGAGAAAATCACAATAAACGTGTATAACACTCGAGAAAATCACAATAAACATGTATAACACTCGAGAAAATCACAATAAACGTGTATAACACTCGTGAAAATCACAATAAACGTATAACACTTCAGAAAATCACAATAAACGTATAACACTTCAGAAAATCACAATAAACGTATAACACTTGAGAAAATCACAATAAACGTATAACACTCGAGAAAATCACAATAAACGTATAACACTTGAGAAAATCACAATAAACGTGTATAACACTCGAGAAAATCACAACAAACGTGTATAACACTCGAGAAAATCACAATAACCGTGTATAACACTCGAGAAAATCACAATAAACGTGTATAACACTCGAGAAAATCACAATAAACGTGTATAACACTCGAGAAAATCACAATAAACGTGTATAACACTCGAGAAAATGAGGGTGTAACATGAAAGGGAAATAACGCTCAATTTATAATATGCGGAAAAAAAAGGGGGGGGGGGGGGGGGGGGGGAATAACACAAACCGCTTATGATATGGGAGGACAAACACAAAACAATACGAATTTAGATGCTAAAACACAGAGTTAAATAATTTGCTGGAAAATTACAACAATTAAATGGCTAATTTCGATAGTTATAAAATCTACGATTATTAGCAACATAAACGAGACTTAAATTCACGGCACAAGTATGACAATTTGTTTGATACCTGGGAAATGTAGTTTCACAGAAGATTTCCCATAATTTACTGGATAGCAATAAACAGCAACAGGAATGTTTTGAAACAGGCAAGGGCTGGAAGATAACTTATCATAAAGATCAGAGACAGTCATCATATGTGATCATATTATGAAAAGAAGCAAATTGGAGCCTGCTGTGACAGCCGGAAAGATTTATGGAAAAGAAGAGACACAGGAAGACAAAACGAAAAGGTTATTGGCAGCTTTTGTTATGCCATGGAGGGCTGTCAGCACACAAACTGACACATACTGTTGAAGACCTCAGATTGTGGAGAGGCGAGATTGCCCTCGTCAGTCGGCAAGATACTTGATGATGACGATCATATACAATACACTTTTATTAGTTTAAACGTAAACAACGAAAGACAATCAACAATAATAAAAACAACACAAAACAAGTTGTTAACAATGAAGAGACACAAGATAATGAGAAATTGCTGGTCGAGTTGCAAGAACACTTGGCTCCCACGTTGGAGAATGGGATTGGATTCCCACTAGGGTATTTTCTGTCGGGGAAACAGACAATAATCCTTCTGAGCGGAAGGAACAGTTCGTGTGAACATTACAGTTATGCGGCACTAAATCCTCGGGAACACATGACACTCTCCATCACCACACAAGACAGTCCTGAATATAGCGAGTGGAAGTTTTTAACAGGTCGATATCAGCAGGCAAAGAAGATGAAGAATTATCGAAAAATAATTATCTCGCACACACAAACACACACACACACGTGTGCATTTACATATACAATTATCTATGTGTAGATAAGGAGACAGATATATGTGAGAACACGTGTTTTAATAGAAATTTTGGCACTGAGTGTATTTTAAACCCCACAAACATTGTTGTTTATATTTGTGTGCGCGCACGCACGCTCGCGTGTGTGTGTGTGTGTGTGTGTGTGTGTGTGTGTGTGTGTGATAAGGAAGCAGACATGTACAAGAACACGCATTTTGCCAAATACCTCACCTCCAATCCTGGCATTGAATGCAATTCCAACCCCACAAATTTTATTGTTAGCCATCATGGCGATTTCTCCAGCACATCTGGTCCCGTGTCTGAAAAAAAAAAAACCTGCCTAGTAAAGTTTTTACTAAAGCGTCGTCGCCAGACAATAGTTTTCTCTTAAGTGTCATCGCCAGATAATAGTTTTCACTCAAGTTTTGTCGCCAGATAGTAGTTTTCACTTAAGTATCGACGCCAGATAATAGTTTTCACTAAAGTGTCATCGCCAGATAATAGTTTTCACTTAAGTATCGTGGCCAGATAATAGCTTTCACTAAAGTGTCGTCGCCAGATAATAGTTTTCACTTAAGTATCGTGGCCAGATAATAGCTTTCACTAAAGTGTCGTCGCCAGAGAATAGTTTTCACTTAAGTATCGTCGCCAGATAATATCTTTCACTAAAGTGTCGTCGCTAGAGAATAGTTTTCGCCAATGTATTGTCACCAGATAATAATTTCCCTAAACTATTGTTGCCAGAGAATAGCTTTCCCTGAAGTTTTGTCGTCAGACAAAAGTTTTCACAAAAGTGTCGTGGCCAGAGAATAGTTTCAAAATATTCTAAATGTATACACATTTTAACTTCCAAGAAGCTGTCATGGTATAATGAAACCTTAATTTAATGCTGCCACGTATCTAGGCCAATTAGGTACCATCGGATATGGAACTCTGCGCTTGCTGCTGAAGATGGCGACGAAGCGCTTATGGGAATTCCCCGAGAAAATTAAAACTCAATTTGACCCCCCCCCCCCCGTTTTTACACGTCCTTCTATATATCTTTAAAAGAAATGTGTACCTACTTGTTCTCATTCGTATCGTCGTATCGAGGGCTTGGATCAGAGTCGTTGTCATTCGCATCCCAACTTGCCTCTGGATCCTTGATTCACAAACAATCAAAAATAAAATATAAATACAAATAGGGTGTCCAAAAATTGGTTGTGCACTGATCAAATGTTAGTGCCATTCTAACAACAGTGGCGAACTCTTTGATGTTCGACCAAACAATATTGCTGTAGCGACCTATTGGACACCCTAGACCTGTGGTCTCTAGAGTGGGGGCAGGCCACCTTGAGAGACGTGAGCAAGTTTTCAGATGGTTGGGGGGGGGGGGGGGGGGGAGCGTGCGAGTGGTCAAGAAAATTTTGAAATTGAGTTCATTTGTGCCTATATTTAATGACTGAATGATTACTATCGTTTTTCTTTATTTTTTGTTGTTGTTGTCAATGTCTGCTTATGCCGCTATTCGTCACAATTGATCAGACGATCGGCAACCGAATCAGGGCGCGATTGGTCGCTTGATATGCCGTGATGTTACGCAGTATCAAGGTGTCAGTGACTCCTCAAATCCATATTCTTCTCGGTCTTCCGCTGCTTCTTGGTGTTTCGATTTTCAGGTTGTACGTTCTTGCTGCTGGTATCGTTGGTTTCATTTTCATTAGATGGCCAAACCATTTTATTCTTGTTTTCGCAATTAATTTGACGATGATGTTGTTCCGAAAGTTCTTGTGATCACGTCGTTTCTCACTCGATCTTTTCTGGTTTTATTCACAGCCATTCTCAAACATCTCATCTCACAGATGGTTAGTTTTATGTCGTGTTGGTTTGTCAATGCCGAAGTCTGACATTGGTAACCTAAAGCAGGGATAAATGTTGTATTTATAATTTGTCTTTCTGTCTCTATTGGGACAGCAGAGTGCTTGAAAAGTGCAGCAAGTTGGTACATGACATTGTTGGATATTTGGTTATTACCGTTAACGGTCAGGAAAACAAAACACCGCTACCAGCTTGACGCGGAGAGTGATCTTTGTTGTACCTTGTCTAACATCAGACCAAAGATCAAAATGAGAGGCACTTGTAACAGCGACGCCAGCCAGGTTTAATCTGCAGTCCAATGTGAGTAAGGACCTCAAGTGTAGAAATGAGATCTTAGCTTGTTTGGTCCCATCATAGGCCCAGTTCATCTTTTCTAAATACGTGTATATGTGTGTGTGTGTGATGTTTGTGTGCGTGCGTGCGTGTGTGTGTATGTGTGTGTGTGTGTTGGAGGGGGTTATGGAAAAAGAGGGGGGGGGGGTTTGGCAAACACTGTCAATACTTATAACCAAAAAAGACAAATAGAACGTAAAATATTTATTTCCGTGCCTTGAGGCGTCCTCCAGGGGCCAGTGATGGTAGACCAGTCGACATTCGATACGTTATGCAGTGAATATGTAGTCACATGCAATAGTTGTACCATTGTGGAAGAACGAGTGAAGCAAGCGAGAATGCAATCAATATTGAGGCATCTAGTCTTTTAAGTTTTGTTGGGAAAATGTATACTAAGATATACTAAATGAAAGAACCACAGTTGACAGAAGAACAGATGGGGTTTCAGACGAAATAGAAGCCGCACAGATGCAATCTCCACACTTAAACAGTTAATAGAAACGATTTTCGAATATGATCAGAAATTATTGTCGTATTTGTAGATTAAGAGAAATCTGTCGACAGGATCGATAGACAAAAAATCTACTTCTTTCTACTTCTTTCTATGAGTGCCGATCAATACACTTTCTGTTGCTTGATTAATTATAGAGATTGTGGAAGCGTTGTTATAATACATTATGGAATATCTAAACCATTCAAAGTAACACCTGGATTAAGACAGGGAGGTGTCTTATCACTACTCCGGTTTATCACCTAAACTGAAAGTATAAGCAATGATGTCAGGCCCAGGAACAAAAATAATAACATTAACAACTTACTCTTCGTCCTTGATTGCAGATAGAGCCATGAATTTACAACGATTTCATATCCATAAATGGAGAATCCAAATCAAACAATATGAGAATCAACATCGAAGAGACAGAAGTAATGTCAATAGGAAGAAAGAAACATAATTTAAATACAGCATTAGATCATAAATATATTAAACAGGCATCTGAGATTAAATATCTTAGAACAACATTCACAGAAGATGGTAAATTGGACAAAGAAATTCACATCCAATGCAGTAAAGCAGGCCAAGTATTGGGACAGCCAGCTCCCTCTTACAGCATAAAGAAATCCCATTCAGCACAGAGAGAAACATCTCATACAAAGCATATTTATTCCCTATGACATGGTTACTCACAACAAAAGATAAAAGACAAATTAGTAAACATAGAAATGAGGTGTCTGAGAAAGACTGTAGGAGTGACCAGAAGAGATAAAATCAGGAATGAGGTCATACGAGATAAAGTCGGCACAGATCCGATTCTTAATTAATACAAAGACAGTAATTCAAATGGTTTGCCCATTTAAAGAGAATGCCATCTGATGCTATACCATACAAGGCATATACCAAAAGAGGAGAGGGACGTAGAGCAAGAGGTAGACCAAGAACAATATAGGAAGATAACATCAAAGAAACGTTACAGAACTACGAGGTGTCTATGGTCAAAGCAACCAACAGAGCACGAAGCAGGACCTTATGTCTCCATTGACACATGAAGCGGTAAAAGAGAACGCATATATATATATATATATATATATATATATATATATATATATATATATATATATATATATATATATAATATATATATGTGTGATGGTAGTAGTTTGTCGTCTGCCAACACACAAGTCCCGGGTTTGAATCCGCATCCAGTCGGATTTAAAACAGAAATATCAGAAAATAGGTCGGCTCAGTCTGAAATGGGTATCTGGTAAAATCCTATAAAGGAAAGGCGACCAGCCAGCATCATTCTTTTGCTAATTGAATGCCAATTGGTCTTTAAACATATGTTGCATTTTACACCCAAAGTACAATTTATGTGAAAAAGTGACCTATACTTACTATATATATATATATATATACACCCACACACACACACACACACACGCACATAGCCACACACATTTGGAAAGACAAGACAGTTAAAAGAGCTCATACTAGGGTGTATGATCGAGGCTGAGAAAAAAAGTTGACATTATAAATAGAAAAAAGTCACTAAGAGATTCACGAACAGCAGCTAGTCAGGACACTGCCTACGGGAGAGACTAGCCGGGTTAGACATCCCCTGCAGACATCCTTCATCGCGAAGGCGGCACTTGACTACAGCTATCTGTGGCAGAGTTTATGTTTCACTTACATAATTATCTTTCAAATCAGGATGATCCTTTTCGATACCTGAGACAACGAAATAAATATGGTTAGCAATAAACTTTATATGTACAAAAAATATATGTTTAAAATAATGTTAAGTATAGAAAACAGCATTTAAAACGCCTAGATATGACGTCATTAATTGGTAAAAAAAACTGTATTACTAAGTATGTCATTCATCGCAAATGAAAATGCACCTCTAAAAGTATGCCATTCAGTCGTAAATATAAACTCATCATTTTTTTTCACACTCCCTTTCCCTTGGCTAACCTTCATAATCTCTGTTTGTTTACATACTACAAACAATATGTTGTGGAATTATTGACTTCAGTTTAAATCTGTATTGTAGTATATAACCTTAACGTCTGTGAATGTGCCTTGTGTAATGATGTAGATTCTTGAATGATTCATTAGATAGTATGTTACTGTAATTTAATAACATAACTAAACCCTTGACCCTTTAGGGTCGTGGAGGTGTATCCATGGAAACACTAGCATGAACAAACCGCCACTATTCTGTCTTCCGGTTGTTGAACAAGTGTAAAAGAATTTAGTCCCGTCCATTTCTTGATGTTTTTATTCTAGATTCTTCTCCATTCCCCCTCCCCTATCTATCTATCTATCTATCTATCTATCTATCTATCTATCTATCTATCTATCTATCTATCTATCTATCTATCTATCTATCTATCTATCTATCTATCTATCTATCTATCTATCTATCTATCTATCTATCTATCTATCTATCTATCTATCTATCTATCTATCTATCTATCTATCTATCTATCTAATCTATCTATCTATCTATCTATCTATCTATCTATCTATCTATCTATCTATCTATCTATCTATCTATCTATCTATCTATCTATCTATCTATCTATCTATCTATCTATCTATCTATCTATCTATCTATCTATCTATCTATCTATCTATCTATCTATCTATCTATCTATCTATCTATCTATCTATCTATCTATCTATCTATCTATCTATCTATCTATCTATCTATCTATCTATCTATCTATCTATCTATCTATCTATCTATCTATCTATCTATCTATCTATCTATCTATCTATCTATCTATCTATCTATCTATCTATCTATCTATCTATCTATCTATCTATCTATCTATCTATCTTATCTATCTTATCTATCTTATCTATCTATCTATCTATCTATCTATCTATCTATCTATCTATCTATCTATCTATCTATCTATCTATCTATCTATCTATCTATCTATCTATCTATCTATCTATCTATCTATCTATCTATCTATCTATCTATCTATCTATCTATCTATCTATCTATCTATCTATCTATCTATCTTATCTATCTATCTATCTATCTATCTATCTATCTTATCTATCTATCTTATCTATCTTATCTATCTATCTATCTATCTATCTATCTATCTATCTATCTATCTATCTATCTATCTATCTATCTATCTATCTATCTATCTATCTATCTATCTATCTATCTATCTATCTATCTATCTATCTATCTATCTATCTATCTATCTATCTATTTATCTATCTATCTATCTATCTTATCTATCTATCTTATCTATCTTATCTATCTATCTATCTATCTATCTTATCTATCTATCTATCTATCTATCTATCTATCTATCTATCTATCTATCTATCTATCTATCTATCTATCTATCTATCTATCTATCTATCTATCTATCTATCTATCTATCTATCTATCTATCTATCTATCTATCTATCTATCTATCTATCTATCTATCTATCTATCTATCTATCTATCTATCTGTCTGTCTGTCTGTCTGTCTATCTATCTATCTATCTATCTATCTATCTATCTATCTATCTATCTATCTATCTATCTATCTATCTATCTATCTATCTATCTATCTATCTATCTATCTATCTATCTATCTATCTATCTATCTATCTATCTATCTATCTATCTATCTATCTATCTATCTATCTATCTATCTATCTATCTATCTATCTATCTATCTAATCTGTCTAATCTATCCATCTATCTATCTAATCTATCCATCTATCTATCCATCTATCTATCTATCTATCTATCTATCTATCTATCTATCTATCTATCTATCTATCTATCTATCTATCTATCTATCTATCTATCTATCTATCTATCTATCTATCTATCTATCTATCTATCTATCTATCTATCTATCTATCTATCTATCTATCTATCTGTCTGTCTGTCTGTCTATCTATCTATCTATCTATCTATCTATCTATCTATCTATCTATCTATCTATCTATCTATCTATCTATCTATCTATCTATCTATCTATCTATCTATCTATCTATCTATCTATCTATCTATCTATCTATCTATCTATCTATCTATCTATCTATCTATCTATCTATCTATCTATCTATCTATCTATCTATCTATCTATCTATCTATCTATCTATCTATCTATCTATCTATCTATCTATCTATCTATCTATCTATCTATCTATCTATCTATCTATCTATCTATCTATCTATCTATCTATCTATCTATCTATCTATCTATCTATCTATCTATCTATCTATCTATCTATCTATCTATCTATCTATCTATCTATCTATCTATATCTATCTATCTATCTATCTATCTATCTATCTATCTATCTATCTATCTATCTATCTATCTATCTATCTATCTATCTATCTATCTATCTATCTATCTATCTATCTATCTATCTATCTATCTATCTATCTATCTATCTATCTATCTATCTATCTATCTATCTATCTATTTCTCTCTCTCTCTTTTCAAATACCAGTAATATTCCTTGAAGTATATAGTTTCTGCTATCAAATCCATTCGCCCCACATGACCGAAACAGGCTAGCCTGCGACGTTTCATGACTGTCAGAAGAATTGCTTGCTGTTCTTCAAATTTGTTTATTTGTTCTGTTACATGTTTGTTAGTTTTACGTTTTAATAGGTAATTCGTTATACATAACATATAAGTTGTAAGTTGGGGTCCTAATGTATGTAAGATGTAAACTACAGGACGAAACAGCATAATAATAAGAGCAATAGGGATATTGAAATTATTAAAACTCCTTGTTATCGTTTGCCGCTCTTAGAATTGTCCACCCTCCCCCAGTGTTGCCACCCTGTGCAGCTGCACATGTTCCATAAAGCCCAAACACAACCCTGAATGTACCATTAGAAAGTAAGTCATCCAGTCGTAAATAGAAATTGATACTAACCGTCATCAAGAACAGACACCACGCTGCCAGCTCCGGTAATATTCCTCTTCCAAACTGCAACAACGTTGAGATCGGCTTTTGTGTCGTCCCTGCGATTGGACTGAGGTAGTAAGGGAATATATGTCAGTTAAAAAGTTAAGGATACATGTCAGTTTAATAGTCATGGATAAATGTCAGTGAAACAGTCCAGGATACATGTCAGTGAAGTAGTCCAGGATGCATGTCAGTGAAATAGTCCAGGATACATGTTAGTGAAAAAGTCAAGGTTACATGTCAGTGAAATAGTCCAGGATACATGTCAGTGAAGTAGTCCAGGATGCATGTCAGTGAAATAGTCCAGGATGCATGTCAGTGAAATAGTCCAGGATACATGTCAGTAAAATAGTCCAGGATACATATCAGTGAAATAGTCCAGGATACATGTCAGTGAAATAGTCCAGGATACATATCAGTGAAATAGTCAAGGATACATGACAGTGAAATAGTTCAGGATACATGTCAGGGAAATATTCCAGGATACATATCAGTGAAATAGTCAAGGATACATGACAGTGAAATAGTTCAGGATACATGTCAGGGAAATATTCCAGGATACATATCAGTGAAATAGTCAAGGATACATGACAGTGAAATAGTTCAGGATACATGTCAGTTAAATAGTCCAGGATCCATGTCAGTGAAATAGTCTAGGATACATGTCAGTGAAACAGTCCAGGATACATGTCAGTTAAATAGTCCAGGATCCATGTCAGTGAAATAGTCTAGGATACATGTCAGTGAAACAGTCCAGGATACATGTTAGTGAAATAGTCAAGGATAAGTGTCAGAAAAAATTCAAGGATACGTATCAGTGAAACAGTCAAGGTGACGTGTCAGTGAAATAGTCAAGAATACGTGTCAGTGAAATAGCCCAGGATACGTGTCAATGACACTGTCAATGATACGTATCACTGAAATAGTTAAGGATACATGTCACTTAAATAGTTGAGGATACATGTCACTGAAATATTCAAGGATACAAGTCATTGAAATAGTGAAGGATACATGTCTTTGAAATAGTCAAATATGTCACTTAAATAGTTGAGGATACATGTCACTGAAATATTCAAGGATACAGGTCATTGAAATAGTGAAGGATACATGTCTTTGAAATAGTCAAATATGTTACTTAAATAGTTGAGGATACATGTCACTGAAATATTCGAGGATACAAGTCATTGAAATAGTGAAGGAAATACGTGCCAGTGAAATAGCCCAGGATACGTGTCAATGACACTGTCAATGATACGTATCACTGAAATAGTTAAGGATACATGTCACTTAAATAGTTGAGGATACATGTCACTGAAATATTCAAGGATACAAGTCATTGAAATAGTGAAGAATACATGTCTTTGAAATAGCCAAATATGTTACTTAAATAGTTGAGGATATATGTCACTGAAATATTCGAGGATACAAGTCATTTAAATAGTTAAGGATACATGTCTTTGAAATAGTCAAATATGTCACTTAAATAGTTGAGGATACATGTCACTGAAATATTCAAGGATACAGGTCATTGAAATAGTGAAGGATACATGTCTTTGAAATAGTCAAATATGTTACTTAAATAGTTGAGGATACATGTCACTGAAATATTCGAGGATACAAGTCATTGAAATAGTGAAGGATACATGTCTTTGAAATAGTCAAATATGTATGTCAGTAAGATAGTCAAGGAACCTTCTCTTTGCATTGGCTATTCGTGCATACAATGCTAGACCTAACCATTTGTTTCTGGCGGTAGGCAGTACCATGAACTTTATTTTGTCTTTCCAAGTGTGGGTTCAAGGGTCCTGTTGTAGATAAAATAAGAATAAACCCACTGCTCCCTACCCCTCCCCCAGCACACACACACACACACACACACACACACACACACAAATAAACTTACTACATGTCGTAAGAGCCTGAGAGGTAAGGAAACAACAGTCTACATACAAATACGTCACACATAATCCAAGTCCTTTTTTCCAAGTCCTTTTAAGAAAAAAAAAAAAAAAAAAAAAAAGCTCGACCACGTTCAGACTGCTGCTAGCTAGCCTAGGCTGCCAGCAGTCTCCGCCTATATTTGTTTTCTAGGTTATTTGCGTCACTTTCGTGACTGAATACTAGTGTTTGTGCCATTTCTGGGCTTGATGCTTCCACCCGAATCAAACCACTCGTCCTGTTATCACTGGTGCATGTCTTCCTTCTTCTTTCTTGGTGTTTCCTGTTTGTTCTGTCTCCCTTTGGTCTGGCTAGGCGTATCTCGAAGGAGAGCGAGCTTCCATACACAACGTCCTTTCGGCCACCATTTATTGTTTTAAAATTTTGAGTAATTTAATTTTGCCAAAAATTACTGAAAATAGTTTTTGAATTTGAATAGTTCCGAAATATGAAAATTTTCCGCGTGTGACCATAGTGGTCTTATAGTCTTCCTGTAATATGAACGGGTTAGTCATGTAATGGATATGTGTGTGAGAGTTTATGTGGAGCCTTAAGCGGGTCCAGTCGTCATTTGTTATTATGTGATCGGGTTGTGTTGACAGCTAAGCTCCGGTGTACGTAAATACCATATAACCGGAGCATCCAGCTCACGCTTTGAGATCCAAATGTTCGGCGATGAGAATTGCTGTGGCATGTTGGGTAACGAACTCAAGTGCTCTCTCTCTGGGAGTGGGTTGGGGGGTTAAACTCATAGTGCATCAGAAAGAGTTAGGGAAAGGTGGGGGGAAAGGGGGCGGGAGGCCATTCAGTCATTTCTCGTCGTTGTCGTCTTGCTGGATTCTAGCGTGGCCTTTTGCCGGGACTATGTATATCACGTTACCAACCTTTGCTATCATCCCAGTGATGGGGTGGTATTGGTGGTTATGCGTTCTGGTCCTGTCATTATCGAGTCACTTGTTTTCCCTATTTGCTGTCAGTCATATCTTGTTGTGAGTCCTGTCGGTCATGTGTATGTTGTATGCATGCTGTGGAATGGGATGGTTTTGTGTATAAATCCCCGGAGTATATGGACGCACCCAACTAGGTGTATGCGTACATGCACTCGAGTACAGAGTACAGAGATGCCTACAACAACCTTAAAGAGCCCAGCCTTAACACACAGGTACGGGACAAACTGAAAATTCCAGCTAACAAACTACTATGGAGAGCTAGGTTAGGGTGGCATCCAGGGAAATTTACATCTCCACTATGTCTGGACTGCTTTCAAGATAATACAGTAGAGCATTATATAATAAACTGAGAGAAACCCATTGAGGAGTATTTTCTAAAACGCAAACAATAGATTACTGCAAACAAATGTTTAAAGGTAGATATCAATAAAGACATCCAAATGGTGACTTGGCAACCTTTATTCTTGAGCTGGGTTGTTAGATTTAAGATTGTTTCTTTAATATCTGGCCTACTGCTAGTTTTATGTGTTTTTAATGTCTGCACTGAGGACAATGAATCTGTAAGTATGGTAAATTTAGTTGGAGGTTTATTAATTACCATCTCTAGTGCCTTCATTATGCCGACTAGTTCTGCTGTACATACTGCCACATGATCTGTTATTTTATATTCTCTTTGCATATTCCACTGTGGGATTATTACTCCTGCTCCTACTTCTCCTGCTTCATTCTTAGACCCGTCAGTGTATACAACCAGATTGTCTGATCGGATCTGGTCTATGTATTCTTCTGTTATTGTTTTGGCTTCAAATGTTTCAATATTCTTATTAATAATTTTCATCAGACTCATGTCTGTCCTGGGCAGCTCTATTCTCCATGGAGGGATTTGAGGGACAAACCTAACGCTTGCCTCTAGAGTCCTAGCTAAGTCCTCAAAATCGTTAATTTCTAGTGCAGCGTCCCAGGCTGCTGGTCTCTGTATATATCTGACCGGTCTGTCACCTAGGTATGTAATGTTATGATAAAAAGCGTCTGAAGCTGGGTGTCTGGCATCGTTGGCCGCTTTCATCCAATAGGTATAAGTTAGTTGCTTCCTTCTGAGGTTAAGCGGTGTGATGCCTTGTGCTACCTCCATGGTCTCTCTCGATGTCCCTTTGCCAGCGCCCATGATGGAAGTCAGAGCTTGGCACTGAATCCTATACTCACACATCATTCAGGTTTAGACCCTTTATAGTGAGTATCGACAGTTGTGCTTTTCTAGAAAAAAAAAAAAAAAAAAGTCTTGGCTAGATCGATATTTGTTCAAACCTTGTTCAATCTGGACTACGTCCAACTTTCTTTCCAGAACGCCCTGAACTGTTTGGGTTCCACAGTATTCGCTCTCTCCCAAAGGGCTGTAATCAGTTCAAGCTTGCCGTGCCATCAAAGTACCATCATGTGGTGCAGAACAACTAGCCGATCTGTCAACTTGTTCGTCTCCCATAACACATGCATACAATAGAGAGGAATTCTAATTTGATTGAACCTTTGGAGCGATGCTTGCCACTCTGCACGGAGCACGAACCTTTACACATCACATATTGTGAGTGTTACAATAAATGATTTGTAAATGAAGTTAGTTGTCATGATATGTCTTTTCTGTGGCTAAGTCGATGCGAACGCTTAGTAATGCCGGAATGCCGGGTTCGATCCCAGCTGCGGGCCATGCGCCTTGCGTTGGTTTCGACAGTGGCATCAGGGGGCCGACCCTCCAGAAAGCAATGGCAAACTACTGGACGCAAATTTGCCTAGAGAAACCACACAACAGCCAGGGGCTGCTGGGGTGGTTCTGCAACGTCCTGTAAAGGATACGCGACTAACCTGTCATGATATGAAAGCTTACTTACTTGATCACCTTGGGTGAGGTACCACTCATTAGGATACTCAGGGTCATCCAGTGAACCACCGCTGGCAACGATCTGTCGAGCAAGATCTCGATCCACAATGTCTCTCTTCACACGAAACTTCTGCTGCTGCTGTTCCACAAAAACCACCTGGGAAATGAAAACGAAACAATACATCCATCGTTAAGAATTTCTCAATTGAAAAAGACAATTTGAGGATGGACTGAAAACGTGTCAAGGACGATTTTCTTCATTTTCACACATTTATAAACAATGCAGTTTTAATAACAGTTCAGAAGATGGATAATTATAACAACATTGTCTGCTTCCTTTTCAATTTTTTGCATTTCAACGTTAGGATAACAAAAGCACAGAAAAGCATGCTTTGCTGAGTGCTCATGTCTTGGTTGCTATAGTTACTAATGCCTGACATCGTACATCACCTGTTGACTGTTATTCTGTGCCTTAACCATAGTAGACCTCTCCTTATGGCACTTTATTGAGATTTTCTGGAGGCATGACCGAACCATTATCTGACCTCATCATATTGCTACTTGTGCTTCGTCCACTTGCATCTCCGGTTCATCCTCTCGGGGTTTGAAAGTCTTAGCAAGTACAACGTGCAAGTAAAGTCAAGTAAATAACCCTTTTCCACTCATACAGTGCTAGCCATATATTGTATAGACCAATCCGCACTTGGGGGATGATAGGGTCAATTTCACGCCGACCGCCATTTCTTCCCCAGACCATAACTTAAGGCTGGGTCGAAGTGAGAGCCAATTCATTTAAAAAGGAAAAGTCCGGCTTACTCAGGACCCGAACCGACGACTTTCTGATCCACAGGCGAGCATAAGTGCAATGACTATGCAAAGTATAAAAGTATAATTCACTATAAATTGTTTCTTTACACGCCTGTCAGGTATTGCTTATTATGGACCAGCCTCTGAATATCAAGCAAAAAGATGCAGAAGACTTAAGATTGGCTAAGATGGACGTGCATTCACCCCCCCCCCCCACCTTCCTTTTTTCCCTCTCTCATCTTGGCACCCCCTCCCCTACCCCCACTCCCGTCTTGTTGTAAACTCCAAAATACAACTGGCTGGCTATTTCTTATGTTATCTTCTAACCCCTTCTACCTCTTTCAATTCTGATTTTAGTCCCCCTCCTCCTCCTCCCAACAGTGACAACTACCAGCGACAATTGAGACGAAAAAGAGAATTCTTAAAAGATGTATAAATCCTATCTTGATAAATGGAAGTGAACCATGGACAGTTAGTTGATTAATGACAATTATTTGGTAGCTGCGGAGATGTGGTTTTGCAGACAAATGATTAGAATACTGTTGACAAATAAAAAGAGTAAGGAGGATGGCTTGAAGGAAATTGACTCACAAAGAGAACTGATTGCCCACGTGAGAAAGATACAGTCTGCGTTCCTTGATCATGGTATGAGGAGGAGACAACTGGAGTACATCGTGAACGTAGAAAAGTTAGAGGGTAGAGAGGCAGAGGGAGACCGAGAGAAAAGATGCTGGACAGTTTGACATCGAGGTATGCAGGATCGTCTGTGTCAGAGTTGTTTGAAAGTACACGAGACAGAAGGTTGTGGATAGAAATGACTACCAACGCTACACGGCATGCATTTCTACAAAAAGAAGGTTGACCTCTGTTCCACGATGCATCTCCCAACTCTCTCCCCTTTTCGAATCTTTGTTTACAGACAAAGGAATAGCAGTTGCGATGAGAGGAGTAGACGAAGCGTCCATTACTTCGACTGCTAAAGCATGGACTTTTGTGTCAGTGTTCTTCAAGCAGTTGACTGCAGCCCACTGATGATGTGCAGAAAAGTCCAGATGCGTCGCCAGAGTTTTTGCCTAATCGGGTAAGTGGGTAGGATTGGTAATTTTTCGCTTCCAGGATTTCAGTATGTAGTGTTAACGCATCAAGATTGAAATAAATAGGTACAATTCCCGGAAACCATGTTCAACTGCATAGACTATATAACATCTAATCAGAGGATGTCGCGTTAGATAAAAATTATTATTTTGTGACATCTAATTTAATAACATTACTGCAATCTTCATTTGTTTTTGTCTCCGTAATTGGTAGCTGTCAGACAGGCTGCGAAACACGTTTTCTTTTTGTTATTGTTGTGGGGCGAGAATGTAAAAAATGTTTGAAAAACACTGATTTTAGGCTAATATTCATTCTTGGCTTTGCTCCCAATTGCGACTAGGTTATGTGAGCCATATAAAATGACTTAGCACTGCATGCCACCAAGAGCCCTGAAAAGGAATCCTGCAGTGTTGATGCGATCACAGGAGACAGACCCAAATACTGTCCCAACGGCAACTTAGTCGTCTACCGGCGAGCCAGTGGGCGACCCGGTCAGCTATTGAATTCCCATATCTACCCTGTGCTCAAGGATTGTAAATTTGTACGGGAGATAATCACAATTTATGTGTCGTTTAACGAAATGATTTAACATAGTTATGACCCTTTATAGCATACGCATAGAAAGGTGTTTCCTAAGATACACGACTTCTTCTTCTTCTTCTTCTTCTTCTTCTTCTTCTTCTTCTTCTTCTTCTTCTTCTTCTTCTTCTTCTTCCACCTTGTACCTCATCGAAGTGTCGGGGGGGGGGGGGGGGGGGAGAGATATAATGTTCGTTGATGAGCTCTGTCAAGAGCACTATTAAGACTGATGCTCATTTCTGTAAGGCTGTTCTTAATGCCATCACTCCATATTTTCCGAGGTCTTCCACTCGCTCTATACCCGTGGTAACGTTTTAGTGTGGCTCGCTGTGGCAGATAGTACCAGGGCATTCTTGTTAGGTGTCCAAACCACTTCATTAGTTGTTCTTTGATGACCCGTAAGACTGGCTTTACTTCTAGCATTCGTCTGATTTCGTGATTTCGTATGCTGTCTTTCCTTGAAATTCCTGCAGCTCTTCTAAGGCATTTCATGTCTGTTGTCACAAGTTTACGTTAACTGGGGGACGTAAGTGTCCACGTTTGGCACTGATAGCATAGTGTTGGCCAAAAAATAGTTCTGATAAGATTCACTTTAGTACTACGGGGTATCTGCTTGTGTGTCAACAGGGGAGATAGTTGCCCCATTACTTGATTAGCTTTGGCACATCTCGAGCTAATTTCTCTGTCCAGTTTTCCGTCGGATGTGAAAATTGCTCCCTATTACTTAAATTACTCTGTTTGTCTTAAAGTGTTGCTTTTCAGTTTTATTACTAAATTGCCTTTCTGTCTTAATATCACATTTGTCTCTGTCTTCGTAATGTCTATTTTCATATTATATTACTCCTCTTTTGTTACTAATGTGATTTCGATGGTTCTGTAGGCATTCCGTACTTTTTGCTATAAATACCTGTTTTCAACAACAATAGTCTTAAACTGTGTAGGTGAGAAATGTTGCAGCAGCTTTCTGGTTGTATGCACGTCTATCTCCCTCTTACATGTCTGGTCTTGCAGGGTCTACACTTAGTTCCAAATTCACACACCTTTACACGTGTCTCTTTTTTTTTCTGCCTTTTTTAGCCTCCAATGGACTTTCATCTAACATTTTATCTTTCAACTGGTACAAGTACTATTAATTTGTGAACTCTTCGTTGGCTTATAATGAGGGGGGAATTGAAAATATTTGAGGATGACCCTAGTGCCGTGATGTGACTGATTGACTTTCTACCCCACCAGGACATCACACAAGCGATAAACACCCAAAGACACAATGTGCCACCATGTGGATGAGGATCACCGTCGAGAGGTCCCAGAAACCGTGTTCAGACAATTGGCCATATTTATGGCCTGCCTATATTGCGGCCCCTGGCAAAAGCTAGGGTGGGGCTTCAAATAACCAAAAATTTTGTCCTAAAAAGGACAAAACAGGGTGATGTATGTGCCGTGTTGTCAATTCTTGATTCGTTTATTCATATGGTATTTTCTGTACGGCATTCGTTCATTAATGTACCCATAATGTCTCCCTTGTTCAATAAGCGTTTTCGTTGAACTATTGCTTTTAACTTCTAAAGCAGACACATATGTAGGACCGTTAAAGCTTATTGCATGTAATAATGTAAATTCTGGACATCAACATTCCTTGTTACTTTGTTGCGTCATCAAACCGGAAGCTGACTTCGTTTGGATTGCTTTCCCTGGCCTTCCTCTGCCTCTATTAAAGTATTATGTTTGTAACATTCTTCATCAAGGTTTGTGTCCCTTGAACCTAGCTTGGTAGACCTGGTGAGTAGCAACGGGCGTCTCACGGCCATCAGCACGCGCATGCTTATCAATAACACGAATGTGTGTGTGTGTGTGTGTGTGTGTGTGTGTGTACGCGCGCGTGCGTTTGTGGGCAGGTGTGTGCATGTGGCACGAGCGTGTATGTGTGTATTGTGTGTAAAAAAAAAGAGATTATGCAGTTTTTGTCTTTGCCACCTTTATACAAACATACATTTCTAGGCAATTTATGAACGCAGCGCGTTAGTAACAGCTATCATCGATTAAGTGTTTATTGGTTGATTGCGTGTTTCAAAACAGGGAAGCAATTACTTGCACAACTTGCATGCTAATCTATGCAATCATTAACAAAAGCTGTAATATGTTTTATATCAGAGACACCGATATCAAGTTAGAAAATCTTTTCCGTGAACATCTTATGTGAACACGCATACGGAGTCTTTTAAACAAGTTTTTCTCTTATGTACCAATTTCCACAAGGCAGATGCCATTTCTGTCACTGCCAATAAATCTTGTCCGGGTGACCACACCGCTCACCTTTCTTTTGCAAAGCAGAATATAAAAATCTTGGTCTTTTTTTCTCTTTTCTTATGATTTTCTTTCGATGCCCATCTATTTTCCTGTTTCCGATTTCAATGTCCCTAGCTTTGATTGCTACCTTTTTGTTTGGATTATTATATTTCTACCCATAGCCGGTTTTATCGATAGCAATTTTAGTCTTAGCACTAGCTTGTTATTTGAGAGCTTTTCTTTGAGAAGAGTTTCCTAGCTGCATGGTATGTCTGTTGATTATTTCTAACAAGAGATATAAACATCTTGTCATCCTACTCCATGCACTGGGGGCAATAATATATGACCAGTTTCTTAATGTCGGCCCTGGTTATTGCCGTATATCTAACC